CAAATATGATGTTTGAAAGTTTGATGCTTGTTAATGTTATAAATTTCTTTAATTATATATAGCATTAATTATTAATAAATTTAAATAAATAAATAAAATTGCTGAATTTGGATAATTTTCAAAATTTTTAAATTAACTATGAAAATTTTTTTCCCAGATTAATAGTTGCATCATGTTAGCGGTAAAACTTTAGATAGTATGTTACAAAAAAAAAAAAAATAAGAAAATTATCCAATTTTTTAATTCATTGTTAAAAAATTTGGAAAATTTTCAAAGAACATATGATGACAGGATATTTAACAAAATTCAGTAATATGAAAATTAATTAAGGTAATAAGTAAAGTTATGAACAAATAATATTTTAGAACATTCCAAAGATATCAAACCTTTGAAGTGACTGGTAACATTTGAAATTAGCACATATGCTAATATAATATGAATAAACATCTTGATCGATTTTTGATTTATAGTCTGAAAGTATCAAATAGTTTTTTGATAAGATAAGTGAAATTATCATTCATCAATCAGTTCTATTTATTATATCTGATTAATATCAAAATATTGTTTTTTTTTTAATACCAAAAAAAAAACGATATTTGAATAAATTTTTTTTCAATAATTTACTATATTACTGAAAAACAATAATCAAAAGATATGAAACTAAAATGGTCAAATATAAAAGCAAAAAAATATAAGTAACGATTAGCAGATTAAAAAGCGAAATTGAGTAATTATGTAATTAAGTAATCAAATCATTTTAAAAAGCATAAAATCAAAAGTTTTCATAGATTGCTTTTTTCCACAAATAATTGTAGCAAAATATTTCTGCCATTTGTTAAAGAATTAAATATAAATTTTGCAACATATAAAAATATAATGCTCACTCTTTATCCGAGATACAATGAATTAACAAGAAATAACCGGTCCTTCATATTTTTGCGTCATTTAATTCCTGAAATAAATGATAGGATTTGTTTCAAATATTTATACTTGTATATAAATTATGTGTATATTCTAGATATACATAGATGATTATGTACTGTTAAATTCGCATATATTTTTCGTGTCATTTCATTTATTCATTTCCTATTTAAGTATTTTTTTTTCTTCCCTCATTCATTATTTAATTAAGCAACGAGTTCATTCTTCTTATTCACAATTTCATTTCCTTTTAAATTAATTATTGATTAGTATGTTTACTATTAGAAAGTTTACTTTTATAATTTTTGAAAATATGTCATATTAATAGTATTATATTTGAAGATTAGAATGATGACAACGAATCATTTCATTGTAATATTCTTTGGTAATGATAAAACAAATAAACGGCTATTTTTCGCATCATCTATTTTTCAAATATTGCGTAATAATGATTTGTCACAATCGTGTCATCTGCATATTGACAATATAAACTTTGCAAATGATGTCATCCTGCAGGTCAGAGCAGCAATCAGTTATCAAGTGCAGATGATGTTTGCTATAAGGATGTTACGCCAATCGTTGATAAGTATTCCATTCAACGGTAGAAATTCAAGAATTAGAATTTGTCTGAACATTCGATCGAATGTCAATGTCACATTTGATCGAATGAATGAAACAGAAAGATCGTAGCTTTTCATCGATGAAACTTTCACAGATATTCATTAAACGAAGAAAGGCATAAATCCGAACTAAGGCTTACGGTAATTGAATCATTTCAATTTCTGCCAATCATTTCCGGAACTCTTTGTAGTTTGATATCAAAGAAACCGAAAGGAATCACAAAGATTTTTATCGATCAAAGAATTTAATACATTTAACCATTTCTTGTATACATTAAGATTATTTAATGTGGAAAAGTTTCGATCAATAATTTATGATAGCTTTATTAACAAATCAATCAATAACAGTTAAGAGAACCACACGAAGGGACGATATCGTTG